ACACACACACACACACACACACACACACACACACACACACACACACATATACATACATACATATTGTCAAGCAATTATTAAATAAATAAACATAGTTATGAATACATGAAATGGATACGAATAAGAAAAAAAAGTAGGTAGGTGCAGGAGGGAAGAAAGGAGAGCAGTTTTTTTTCAAAGGCAGGGGAGGGGAGGGGGAAGGAAGGAAGGAAAGAAAAAGAGAAAAGAAAGAAAGAAAGAAAGATTGGTTTAGCAGATAGTGGGTGCCTTACATAGAAAAGGATTAAAATAAAATGTTGCAGTCACTACTATACAGGCAAAAATTAGGAGGAGTCTGGTAATACCTTTTAAGACTAATACATTTTATTTAAAAGGTGTAGGCTTTTAAAAGGGGAAGGAAGGAGGAAGGAAGGAAGGAAAGAAAGATGTTTATGCTTATACCTATTATCTTGTAAGCGATTAACAAATCAAATGAAGCAAGGAAGGATGGATGGATGGAAGGAAGGAAGGAAGGAAGGAAGGAAGGAAGTGTAGAAAGTTAGCATCCACCCCTCTCCTAGAAGAACGGAATATTCTAGGAAATATTAAAAAGGCAGAATGTTATATTCAGGGGTGGGATACGACAGGGTTAAGATAAGAGCCCGGTTGGGCGGGTGGGCAAAAACATCAGCAGACATAGAACCGGTTCTATGTCTGCTGCTCTTCAGAGCTACCAGTTCTACAGAGGTGGACAGAACTGATAGAAACCCACCCCTGGTTATATTTCCCTGGATGAGAAAAGGAGAAACATGTTTTTAAAGACCAAGCAGCTTCCTGCAGCTCCCTGTCCACCCCTTCAGCTCCAGGGTGATGGGATTAAGACATGGCCCTCAGGACATGATAGGATTAGCGCTCTACCCATCTCACCATATGGTACCTGGGAAAATTACATCGTCCAGCAAGATTCAACCAAGCTTGGGCGGGGACTGGAGAGTCCCAAATTTAAGCCCAGCATATCTTAGCCCAGTGTTTCTCAACCTTGGCAACTTTGAAATGTGTGGACTTCAACTCCCATGCTAGTTTGGGAATTTGGGGAGTTGAAGTCCAGAATCCCCCAGGTAAAATGTTATGGTCTGTGATGTCAAGATTATGTAACATTAGAGGAGATTCCTATTTGTTAAAGATAAACATTGCATAATCCTGGAAATTCACAAATTATATAGACCTGTTGTACAGATTGCATAGAAAGAGATTTCCAAACAATTAAACCAAAGTATTCCAGTGATGTCCAACTGCTACTAGAATTCTACACATACATATATGTACACACACACACACACACACACACATCCCTACTGTACATATAAGTACATTATAAGTAATGTGTGATTTGTTTAGTTTGGGGTTGTGACTCTGCCCGTTGTGGTAAAACCATTATGGCTTTGTATCTCAGTGAGAAAGAGCCAATTAGGATTTATTCAGCAAATCATGATTAAGCAAGTTAGGTCTTTGGAGTTTCTCACACATTGATATACTGGTAACTCCCATTGTTGGAAAATAAAACAGTGATTAGCATAACTCCTTTGAAATATTATGGCTCTGAAGATAACAAGCAAGTGTACTGAGAGATTAAGCAATAAAGAATGTACACATTAAAAGCAAGATTACTATATAATTTCCCACAGAACTGATTCTTTCAAACAGTACTCTACAGATTTAGAATTTGAGGACATGGTGTATTTATTATTATTATGTGCTGTCAAGTCATTTTTGATTCCTAGGGACCACATAGATTTTCTCCAAGAAAAAACAATTTCTTCTCTCTTTTTATGTTCCAAATAATACATGGTGCATATCAATATCTTGGCCTTTTCTAAAACCACTTTGTATGTCAGGAATTTACTTTTTCCATGTAGGACTCTAATCTGCATTGGGAGATCTTAAGCATTAATTTGCTAGCGTGTGAAATTAAGGATATTGTACAACAGTTTGTGTGCTCTGTTAAATCTCCTTTTTTAAAAATATAGGAGTGTAAATTGACCCCTTCCAATCTGTTGGCCACTTTTATCAGCCCTGAAGCCATTTTGGGCTGAAGCCATTTTGGGAGCATCTTCAGGGCGGCCACAGCAAGGCCAGTTGGAGCTGTGGGGATGTGAGGGGGGGAGATGGAGATAGCTGGGGATTTATAGCCAAAACAACATTCTTTCCCGTGGGAGCCAAGAATGTCCTACTTCTGTATTGTGTTCGTCTGTGAGTCAGACTTTTACAGTGGTTTCAGTTTTAAATTTGGGGCTAGCCTATTGTTGTGCCAGAATGTTTTTTTCTTCATCCTGATTAGTTGGGAGTCTTGGTCTGTGTTTATTCTTCTTGGAGTTTGCTGTGTTCTGCTTGATTGGTGTTTCTAATATCTTCTGTCTGTTTTGTGGCTCTTTTTGTGTCTTGATTGGCTGGCAACATTGTGTTTCTTTATTGGAGGCCTTTAGTGCAGCTTGGCTCCGAGTAAATGGATGGCTATCATTTGTTAGGAAGCTAGGTTTCATCTGGGTGCCTGGTTGGGGTGTGTTTGAGCTGGAGGTATCAGGGGGGATCTGTTTGTGCCCAGGTGTTTGCCTGGCTAGTGGTGTGGAGATTTTTTTGTTTGTGAGTGCAGGCTTCCAAATAATTGACAGTCTGGTGGAATCATCTCTTCTATTCATGCTTTCAGGTCTTTTTTCAATCTCTATGGCTTCTCTGATAATTCTGTGGCTGGGGTTTTCTATAGTGGCTAGGGTTTTGGTGCCATTGAAGTTGATGCTATGACCTGTGGCTCTCATGTGTTGGACTAGTGAGGAAGTGTGTTCCAGCTTTTTTACTGCATTTTTGTGTTCATCCAGGCGGGTGCTTATTCTTCTATTGGTCTGTCCAATGTATGTGGCCGGGCATGATGCACAGGGGACTTCGTATATGCCTTGGTTTTCCAGGTCAATTTTATCTTTGGGGTTTCTAAGGATGGCTGCTATTTTTCTGTCTGTTTTGAAGGCAGTCTTGATGTGATGCCTGTGTAGTATCTTACTGATTTTGTCTGTAGTACCTCTTATGTAGGGCAAGACAGCTGTTCCATAGTTCTGTTCATCTTCTAGGTCTCCATTGTGTCTCAGTGTGTTTTTGTGGATCAAGCCGGTGATTTTGCTTTTTTGGAAGCCGTTGGCTGTCAGTACTTTAGTCAGGGTGCATAGTTCAGTCTTTATTTGTGTCTTGTCTGCCAGGCGTTTGGTTCTAGCAATTAGTGTTTTGGCCACAGAGTTTATCTGTGCTGGGTGGTGGTGGGATTGGGCATTGAGGTAGCGGTTGGTGTGTGTTTTCTTCTGGTATATGGTGTGTCCTAGTGTGCAATCTGTTTTTTTGTAGATTAGTACATCTAGGAATGGTAGTTGTTTGTTTGTTTCCGTTTCCATGGTGAACTTGATTTTGGGGTGTGTGCTGTTTAGGCGTGTTAGGAAATTGTTTAGGTTTTCTTTTCCATGGGGCTAAATCACAAATGTGTCATCGATGTATCTTAACCATAGTTTGGGTTTGTGGGCGGCATTAGCCAGGGCTCTGGATTCAAATTCTTCCATGAACAGGTTTGCAATGATGGGTGACAGTGGTGATCCCATGGGAGCTCCTTCTATTTGTTTGTATCTTTGTCCTTTGTATATGAAATATATGTTGGTTAAGCAGTGTTCTGTTAGTTCCATGAGGTGTTTAGCTGGTTGGTATTTATTTTTGATGATTTCAAGGGTTTCTTTTATCGGGACTTGAGTGAATAGTGAAACCACATCAAAACTTACAAGCAGATCTTCTTGCTCCACGTGTAGATCTTTGATCATTTCCAAGAAGTGGTATGAGTTTTGTACATGTGAAGCTGCTGTTTCAGCATGGGGCTATAGCTGTTTTGCTAAGTGTTTAGCTAGGTTTTGTAGTGGTGCTCCTCTGGAGCTGACTATGGGTCTGAGAGGTATGCCTTCTTTGTGTATTTTTGGGAGGTCGTATAGTTTGGGGCATCAGGAAGATTTTTCTTGGGATGATTGTCTGCTGGATCTCTTTGCTCATGTGGCTGGTTATAATTTTCTTCTTGGTTAATTTTTCCAGATATGTGGTTGGGTCCGTGTTTATGGGTTTGTATGTGGAGTCTTGGAGTAGGTCTGTCAATTTTGTTTCATAGTCTTTTCTATCCATGCCACAGTAGTAATGGATAGAAAAGACTACGAAACAAAATTGACTCCTTGGTTTTCTAACTTGATTTTGTCTTTAGGGTTTCTTAGGATGGTGGATATTTTTCTGTTTGTGCAGAATGCTGTCTTAATGTTGTGTTTTTGGAGGATCTTGCTGATTTTGTCTGTAGTGCCTTTTATATATGGGAGGAGGGCTTTGCCGTTCTCTTGTTCTCTGTCTTGGATTTTGGTTGGGGTTTCTTTTTGGATTAGGTGGGTAATCTTCTTTCTTTGGAATCCATTGGCTGTTAGTACGTTAGTGAGAGTGTGTAGTTCGGTTTTTAGGTGTTGTTTGTCAGTTAGGCATTTTGTTCTGGAGATGAGTGTCTCGGCTATGGAATTGACCTGTGCTGGGTGGTGGTGTGAGAGTGCATGTAGATAGCGGTTTGTATGTGTTTTCTTCTGGTAGATGGTGTGTTCTAGG